CCTTGTATTTAAGAAAAAACAAAAAGTATGCTAATTAACCTGCTACCATTAATGTATAACAAGACGAATTTCTGCTAAGTGCCAAAAGGTAGGTTTGCAGAACATGGAAGAAAAAGCAGAACATCCTGCTGTAAGAATTATTGTAAACCGAGCACTTAGAGGATGGAAACTTAGAGCACCGGAGTCAGAAAGGAAGAAAGGTCCCTCTGCCCTCTTGCCCCCTTCCTAACAAGGTAAATTGTCATTCCTTACATCTGTGTCATTTCATTTTTTAAAATCACTATCATACTGTATGTCACTTTTGCACATTATTGTAGCCCAAGTGGAAGTTTCAAAATGTCTAAATATTTATCCAGCTGATTTCAGAATTACACTACTGTATGCAGCTCTTAAACACTGCTTTTCCACTTTCTTCACTCATTACGTTCCTTCCTTGTGCACAAACACTATTTTCTGGTAGTCGTCTTCTGAAATCTCACCAAAACTAAACTGTTTTCATCACAAGGAGGATTGTAATAATATAATTCAGTAGATTTTTGATGTTTATAACATGCATAAATTGTCTCTTTATATTTGACGGATTAATACGTTTGCAGAAAGATTATACGTGTTGAGTAATCGGGCTCCCGAGAGACGTCAGTTACTGTAGCTCAATTTCAGCTATAAATGCAGGTGCATAAGTGGATTTTCTGAGTCTCACTGGTGTCCCTAAACCAGTATGTAGTATGAGACATACTGTATGTAGACATTTAAAATTGCAGCAGGGTGTAAAATGTCAAATAAGTCATATATTTGCAAATGAAGAAAAAAGTACTAGATTGGATTGTTTATGAAAGGTAACACGAGGGAGTAGTATTGCCTTCTTCACAAGAAAGAAATTCAATAATGACAAGTCATCCAACAGTTAATTAGGACTGTGTGCTTATTTATGAATATAGGATGCCCAAATTGCTAGATACTTTTCCCTACAAATTCTTTTGGTGCTGTTACTGTATGTACAGTATTATTACTGTACATTGGAGCTGTCAATAAGTTAAAGTGGAAAAAGTGAATAATTTATTTATCCCCATAAAGTTGTAGCAGCAATGAATTATAGATTGAATAATAAGATAAAATGTTATGGCTTGACGTGTAATGTAATTCAACCTTGAAGCTGTGTTTTTCTTTTCGTGCATCTTTCATGATGTGTTGATATTGCCAAATTATCACACAGACATATATATAGAAATGTTGTGGTGTTTTTTTAAAATATGTCCATTTCAAAACCTGTGGGAGTACAAATTTGATTTAGTTACAGTTTTGCAAAAATAGTAAGGTTTAAATATAAATCATTTTTTAAGTGAAACATGAATAGAAAACAATTTTTAAGTCTGTTATTTACATTTTAGAAAGCCAAAATCTTTCCATGAGTAGATTAGAGGAGTTTATTGCCATATGTACAAGTACATTGGAATTCTTATCCGCGCTGATCTCTCAGGACATACACAGTACAGCAGACGACACCGCACAATGTAGACAGTACATTAAAAACATGGCAAATAATAAAAACAGAACAATAAATATGTAGTATGAAAAAATTATTTACTTTACCAGATCTAATACCACATAAAAAACAAAAAAAAGACCACACCTGTTTTTTTGCCTTGATACAATTTACATAGATTGGAAAGAAAATATTAATCAGAATGTAAAATAAATACATCAGCAATATACTGTACCTGCTCTGAATGAGGCAACGCAACATAACCTTTTAAGTTATTAATTTTAAAAACTTGAATACAAAAAACTTTTTCTACCAATTTACCATGAGAAATTAAATTGGGAGGTGATTCAGGGTTGTTGGTTGTGAAAGTGCAATGTGTGTGAGCAAACAATGTATAAATACAGGAAAATTAATGTTAACAGTCAAACCTTTGTGAAAGCAGAGATACGTACTGTACTGTACTTACTGAACACAGATTTAGGCAGTACATGCAGGTGTCTAAATCACTGAGACTAGTGACATGGAATTTAGGTATCTAGACCTGCTGAAGTTATTTTGAAATCTAGAGTCTCGACTTTACTCCTGTCAAACATATTATCCCCAACTGAAAGTATATGCTTCAGTTATCCTGGTGGCTCTTTCCAACCTCGTCATGTCTGATGAGATGTTGTCACCCTAATACAAGCAGGCAATTGTGTAAGAAATCCCAGGTCAGTTCTATAAAGAATTTTACTTTTGTTGTTTCAAAAACATGACCTCCAAAAATGGATCTACAGTACATGCGCTGGCAGAACTGTTCAGGATGCAATTACTCTTAATGCCTATGATCTTTTAAGGAAACTCCAGCTTTCGAAATGAAATGATAACATGATAGCCATCAAACTAAAGTTTACATACACTGGCTGAACAAAGCACCCATGATACATGAACTATTTCTTTTAGTGTTGTCAAGGATGTAAATTAATGTGGAACATACTGTATTAACGGTGCTTTTGCAATGTAAGCATAGACAGAGAGCTGTGTGCTGACTGCTTGGTATTTATTTCCTGATTTCCTGTCTAAATGAAATGGGCTTTGACTTTTTAAAGACGCCAGTGCACACGTGCCAAAGCAGAATGGATAAATGGGCTTGAGAAAGTAGCCTATAAGTCACTACCTCTAGGTTTGAGCCAAACAGCCCAGCAAATCTGTCTGGCGTGGATGGGTGCCAGGGAGCAAATCACATCAGGGAAGCAGTGCACCTCTGTTCATTTTCATAAAAGCATCCAGTTTTTTAAGATGACCTTTTACAGCATCCTTTATTTTTATAGGCTGTGTACCATTACTGTTGCATTATCAAATTTTCCCCTAATGGGTTTTAAGATTCAGAACCCATGATTTCAGTACTGCAGGAAGGTTCCTCTGTATTGTTTACTCCTGTTCAATCTTAACTGATTCACAGCTATGTTTCAGACAGGGACAGATGTCACTGCTTTTACCTAAAAACCTCAGCTGTCAGGAGTCAGTTCGTTCCGGGCTCCTGCAATTCTGGAGCCTTTTTTACCCCAGAGATTGTTTGGTCTGTGTCAAGGCAGAGAATTTTTTCCGCAGACCACTGTGATTTTTGTTTTAAAAAAGGCTTTGTCCTTCCTGGACATACAGTACTTTGCCTTTTTTCAGTTGTCTGTCTCCAGCAGGTCTCTCAGATACCAGTTTTGTTTTTATTGTGCTAAATCACAGTTATATTTATAGTGAATAACAGGTCAGTTTAACATACTTATTCTAATGTTGTTAAACTGAGGGCTCTCTTATTCTTACCCTTTTTGTAGTGTTCGCTCTCATGCTTCTTGTCTCAGGGCCTAAAAGAGTAAACATGTATTTCTAGAGTAGCTGCAGACTGAAATTCATCTAGGTCTTCTTGAAGCAGAAGGCTGTTTTTTTGCTTTTTTTTTACACAGAAACGTGAAGCTGCAGCCCAGAGAACAGCCCAGTTTTCTGAATATTCTGTGCAAAAAATGCATACTTTTATGTGACATGAAAATGTATAATTCATATATTTCCCTAGAAACTATTCTGTATATATACTGTATAAGGTGTTTATGTTATTTTAGTTCAATAGTATCTTTTAGGTATAGGTATATCATTTAGGTATAGATTTAGTATGAGGAACATTATGTTTAATAAAAGTATTGATTTTCCCATATGCAGTTGGTTAAATGCATTGGGAATCAATAATCAAAGCAATTCAAATGCTTTATGTAGATTTGCCTCCCTGTTTTTTCTTAGTTTATTTCCAAATAAAAAAGATTTAGAATCACAATATTTGGTAGCCATATCTAGTTTGACTATGTTTAAATAAGATTTTGAATGGTATGTGATCATCACCAATATTTCTATTTGCAAAGTGGATTATCTTCCATTGCATTTGTTAAGTGCAATTAAACAGGTGATCTCAGTTTAATGGTGCATAAGAGATATCGGTCTTTTTTAGTCTCTTTACCTTTCTTCATGCCAAGTCAAAGTAAGGCACTCTAAAGTACAAGTGTTATAGTCATGCTCTGCTGTAAATAGGAAATATCAAGAAAAGAGTGAACAATTAAAACAATTTCAAAGATCATGGAGACTTCAGTGGAAATGAAGAAATTTGTTTTGTACGTAAAAACTTGCCAATGCAGCAACATATTCTGAGATAAGACCATCATTATTTTTAAATTCACTGGAATTTAAATCTAAAAAAACAAAATCCGAAGAATAGATAGTCAAAGCAAAAAAAAAAGAAAACACATGATAAGAGGAATACGTTAAAAATGATGAAGGTGCGTGGTTTTGCTGAAGCTGGATAAGAGCTTTGGGTGTGGGTTCTGTCGTGGGGCTGACGCAGCACATTCCAGCCCCCTGGAGTCTCCTCACACTGTCCGTTTTCCCAGCTTTTTCTCTGCACCTCCCTCTCCAGTCCCTGGTCTCATCCTCTCCAGCATGCTCTTTCATTTTTAAACATGGCTTTAAAGGCGCAGACATGAATGCCCTGATGGATTCAGATTTACAGCACAGGACACTGCTCACTCCTTTCTTTCTCCTTATCAGTCTCGGTGCTTCCCCCCAGCCCCTCTGTGTTTTCCTTCATTCGTTTCATCTCAAAATACCTAGAAAATGAAACAGATTGGTATAATCGGTGTTTTACTTTTTATTTGCATTTCTATTCCTCTCCGATTAGGCTATCAGCCTTCTCCCGCTCTGTCTTTCCGTTGGTTCACCTTGTAAACAGCGCGGCGGCTCCTGCAGAGTGCATCTCTGCATTAACACGCAGTCCCCCTCCCCCTCCCCCCAGCCCTGTACTGTAGCAGCACTGCAAGAGGCGCGGATGGAGCTGTGTGCTAAGCAGAAATCAATGTGAAGCTGCAAGGTGACTGAAGGGAATGGTGCTGGCCGCCGGCTCTGTGGGTTGGGAAGCTTTGACCCACATAGGGTCCGCGCTGCTGTCTCTGTCCCTGCTGTCGGCTCTGGGCATCCACCTCACAGCTTTTCTTTCTCCCTGCAGACAGATGTCGACTGCCTGCCCTGTCTGCAGCGCCTCTTCCTCAGCTGCAACAACATCACCAGGTAAGAGGGCCACCTGCCACACTGCCACCTCCTTAACTCTGTCCTGGCTGCAGCCCCAGCGCCCAGGGTGCTGGACCTCGTCTGCTCAGGGCTGCTGAGGCTGCGTGTCACTGGAGAGCTAATGAACCCCTGAGCCAGCATGGAGATATCGTTCTGCTGACTGGAGAGGGGAGAGTCGCAGTGCTTAACAGCCCTGAGAGCCAACAAACTAATGACAGTTATTTAGTACTTGAGCGTCAAGCTGTTTACTGTGTGGTTAGAAAAAGTTGACCAAAGAGTATTTGTTGCATCTTTTTTTTAAATGTGAGAATATTGTAAGCCTTCAGAATAATATTTGCAGTGTTTTCATTTTTGAAAAAGAAAAACAATGCAGAATATTAAGGCTTCCACCTGTTTTCTTATTTTTACATACTGCAAGACCAAACGCTTTAGTTTGCAATGGAAAAAAAAAATCCTGTGCTGACCGAGTGTCGAGGGTACAGCTTTACAGAAAGGACTTCATTGAAATGGAAAAGCATAAGACCTCAGCCAGCAAACTTCAGGAGGGCCCGGCTTGTGGAAATCAATAGCCAAACTGTTTTTAGTTGGCTCTGCAGATCAAAATTCTATCATCAAACGTTTATTCGCTTTTTTAATGATCTACAGTTGGGATATTGTAGGTCTGAGGTAAAATGACTCAGCATGTTTACATCTTTAAATACTGTACATTAAAATGTCTCTTTCGGAACGCCAGAGCAATTAATTTGCCACTTGACAGATCGCTCTCCGTGAATTGTACAATGGCTATACAGATCAGCACTTTCTTAAGGTGTATAAAGGAAATACTGTAACTTAGTAATTTTATGTGCAGTTGTACTCTTACAATACAGTGTTGTCCCAGTTTGGCTGTGCATGCTTCCCAGCAGAGTTCCAGATATTAGGAATGGATATAATTTCTGCAGTGGTGAAAATTTACAGACCTTGTACACTACAATTTAAATACCACTGCATCAAGTTTTTGAGAAAATGTATTCATTAGATTTTTTTTCCTTTGTATTGTGCTTTGTGTTTATTATGTACTATAGGCCATCTCAGCCACACACAGTACACAGCTTTCAATGAAGCCAGCGGTGATGAGTAGTGCAGTGCTGAGACAGCAGAAGGTGAAACTCAGGGATGTGAGCTTTCAAACTAAAGAAGTGCATCGTGGGCTTAAGCAACTGGCAGATTTCATCAGGTTAATTCTGTGATACTGAGCTGAAAGCCTGACCTGTAAACATTGCTTCAGCAATGTCTAAGTAGACATGGTGAGAGAGCAGGGGCTCATGTACTGGGAATCAGACAGATGCCCGGCTCTCTGCTGCAGCACCGCATTTTATCAGTTGTTCTTTTCATATGTAGTTATGGATGTCAGTGTGTTATCAATTATGTTATCAATGTTAAAAAACTTCTGGAAATGCTTTACTTTGACTATGTACAAAAATCAGATTATGTTACTTAAGAAGGTTGAAATTGATTTGAGTGAAGGGGTCATTATTGGAAATCATGAGATATATATTAGACTCTGTTTATTGAGGATTGATCCAAAGTTGTATCCAACAAACAAGTTTGACTTCACAGGTTAGTAATTTTGGGGCAAGTTGGACACGTAAAAGTTTTATTTCCACTTAAAACCTTTTAAGTATTGTTGTTTGTTCTACAGAAAAAAGCAGATATGGAACAGGACTGTAAATTGCCCTGTCGCATTTCCATGTGCATCGATCAGCAGATAGGAATGTTATCTCATCTTTGTCTTTTCAATGTAGCCCACTCAGCTTTTGGTGCACATTCATAGATGAGTCACATAATTACAGGTTCAAAGATGAAGACATGAAGCGTTTTTCTAAATCTCATCCAACACATGTAGTAACATCGTCATTCTCAATAATGAGCAGGGGTATGCGGATAACTATCTCATTCTGTAGTACAGGCAATGATGTAATGGACTGAGATTACCAACTAGTTGCCGGCAGGAAAAAAAAAATTCTCTTGCCCATAAAATCCTTTTCATTTCAAAGGGTTATTGGTTTATAATAACTATGGCCGGCTTTTTTAACCTTTTTTTATGGATGGCTGCTGCATCAGTGTTTTTCTTTTCAATGGGTATGTCCCTTGAACATGCATTAAACTGAGTATGCTAAATTTTTTCATCTTCAGGGATGAATGCTGGTTTCTGAGATTATTTGAATGTTCACATACCCAGGCAAAAACAACACAAGTATAACAAGCCTCAGTTATAACTATGTGCTTCTTATGTCCCTTGTTTGTGGCCTGGCCAAATTCCATGCAACTAGATGTTATGGCAATAAAGTATTGGTCCACACTACTCATGCTCTTTTGACATTTTGAGTGGTGATTTTCAGCACTTCACATATAAGTAGATGAGTCTCTTTCCAGACATATGCTGGGATTTTGTCTAGCAAAGTAATACGGGTTTTTGTTGTTGTGTCACATTTGACCAGGCAGTGAAGGGATGAAAGTCAGGCTGTAAAAGTTATGCATCATAGACAGATTACTGAAACTGGACTGTGCATCTTAAAAATATTGTTGTACAACTACTTACAGTATATTCCACTGAAAGATTTAAACTTAATGTAAATATGAACAATTGAATAAAAAAGAAAAAAGTTTGTATACTCAGTTCTGTGTAAAATAATTAACAGTTTTAAGCACTTTAGAGAGGAATGGGGATTTAATTATTGTTTTGCATATACTGTAGTATTCAGTATGTTGTATTGAAATGATCTCTCGTCTGTTTTGCTCTCTTACATGAAAAAAAAACACATGAGAGTTTCAGAAATAAAGCAGCTTTTTAGCTGTTATTGTTTTAGAACACCAACAGAACCTAGGGGAAGGGTCTGAAGACAGATCTTGTTCATCAAATAAAATACTTGTCTTAGAGCTCTCATGTGTACAACTTGCTCCCTGTTGTTTTCCCTTCATCCTGGAGAGTCTGAGGAAGACAGTCAGGTATTTGTGTTTATAAATATTACATTTACCCATGAGAATCTAAATACATATCACATTATTTGCTAGAAATGTGTTATGAAAATATTTGTTATGAAAGAAGAAGATAAAGGCTTGAGTTTGCTTGTGCCCAAGTGTTTTAGAGCTGTGTTGTGAATGAGTGTTGCTGTTAGTTTCAGCCCAGTCAGCATCACTCTGTCACACAGGAAATAGGTGGGTTGTAGCCTTAGCATGGGGTCCTGCAATTGCTGTAATCCCCAATGCATCCCTAAAGAACTCCCACCTGCCTTCATGTTGGTGGAGTCCATTTGTTACGGATATGCACAGACAGCATGTAATTTAGCAGCCAGGCTAAATTTAGCCTGAGTCTCTTTCTGTGAGCTAACAGTCCATGTAATGCCTCTAGGGAGACCGATAACACATTTATGTTTTGGCTCTGAGTGGGGTGCCCATTCCATCTCTAGCTTTGTGGTGAGGGCTTTTTATTCCACTGCCTGGAAGCTGCTGAGCCCACTGGAGGCTCCTCCACTGAAACATTTTGGGCTGCTTCTTCCAAAACCCACATGGAGCTGTCCGAGGTGAACTACTGTAGCTGCACTGAACAGCAGACTCCATGCAGTCACAGGCAGTAGTCATTTGTGTAATGGTAACTGTTGTTTAATTGATTGCTTGTAGTGTTCAACTAATCAATGGATTATTTTTCCATAGAAAAAAAATCGAACTAGGGAAGTTCTTGAATCAAAATTGGCAGTATCAATTGGTGTATAATAATGCGACATTTATTGATATAGGCAGCTACTGTACTTGCCCTTCAGATATTTTGTTTTAATAAAGACACTAAAGCCTAATAATAAATGGTAATGTAATATATAGAGCATGGTTGCTATCTAGATATAAAACTATCTTCTTAAATTCTTGCATAAGTGTCCTCGGTGATACTTCTCATTCCTCAGGTACTTCATAATATAAAACAATATCTCCTCCTTGTCAACATGATGGACATGACTTCAAAACTTTGTGAAAATGTGAGACATTTCTGCTACACGTCTGTATTTGAAGTGACACTTTGGTATTTTAGATTTGAAATCAAAAGTAATTGCTTTATAATTTAATTCTCTGGTTATGGTTTAGTGTCTGAGAAGAAGATGACTTACTGATCAGTAGGGCCTTTTGGCTTGTTGGTTTTAGAAACCATATAACAGCGTACTCTCTCTGTGCAATAAAACTGCTCAATGAATGTTTGTTAAGGTAGTCTCACCACTACCTGTTTATTTCTCCATTTATTTATGTGGTACACACTGTTTTTGTGATTTCATGTACATGATGTGATTTTATGTGACTTGCATGTTTTGTGTGTTTTCTATGTTTATGGGAGAAACCAAAGACAAATTTCCACAGTAGTGGACAATAAACTATGTATAATAATGCATTTTAGGAGATTTCATTTCATTATGTTCATTTAAGGAACCACTAAGTTCAATTCTAGGATAATTTATAACTAAGAATTATAGCAGCAACTAGACAGTGGCTCAGACAGTAGCTGTCGGTAATATTGAGTAGCTGTGGTACTTCAATAGGTATTTAGTGTGACTGCGGTCAGACAGCTGAACTTGTTAGCATGCAGAAGCTGGACCTTAGGTCTCTTCTGCTAAGGCAACTAGCATGCAATCTGTGCTCTGTCTCCTTCTCAGAAGGAATTATACATGTTATAGCTGTGTGTTAGGCAGTGGGGTTTTACAATGTCAGGTGTAATAAACTGCTGTCATTTTCAGATCTAAAAACAGTATAAGTAAACGTTTATGCTCCTCTCCTGCCTTCTAGACCTTCTCTAAAAAATAATGTTTTGATGTTTATGGGACTTCCTGGAAAAACAAAGCTCAGACAAAGACTTCTATTTATTTTAATTATAAACAAGAAAATAGGCAGAGTAGTGCAATGGGGTTTGAGTCTGGATCTCGGGGGCTATCTGCACAGAGTTTGTACTGTATGTTCTTCCTAGTTTTTGTGTGGGTTTTCTCCAAGAGTTTCCGGTTTCCTACCACAGTCCAAAAACATGCTGGCAGGTTAATTGGCTTCTTGGAAGATTGGCCCTGATGTGAGTGTGTGTGTCTGCCCTGTGATGGACTGGCATCCTATCCAGGGTGTGTCCTGCCTTGTGCCTGCCACTGCTGCTGCCTGGTATAGACTCTGGCTCCCTCACAACCCTGAATTGGAATAAATGGTTAGAAAATGCATGGATGGAATAAACAAGAAAACAGTGTAGGAAGTATGTAATGGTATTTGCAATAAGTGAGATATACAGTAAGAGAAAAATGTGGATTTTGCAAACAGGTTCTCTGCCTTTTCTTGTTGCCTGTTTATGTACATTTCTTATTTCTTTCTTGTTTTTTGTTAGTTTCGATGATCTTACTTGCCTTGGAGACAGCCGCTCCTTGTCTGAGGTCACACTGGATGGAAACCCTGTAGCCCAGGAGACATGGTACAAGCAAACTGCCCTGCGCTACATGGTTCAACTGAGGCAGCTGGACATGAAGCGAATCACAGTAAGCACCTACAGTATGTGTGAGTGTGTGTAAAAGTCAATGACCGGAGGGGCACATGCTTAAGTTGCCAGAACCCATCTGATGTAGTGTAAAAACTGCCGCAAAAGAGATCTGTTTGTTGTTGAAGAGACTAGAATAAGGGTCACTCCAATAAGGGGAAATGTTAGCAAATTGTTAAATATTAACCTAATACCTGTATGTTCCTTAAAAGATGTTAAGTGCCATTATTTATAGCTAATGTCCAGAAGAAAGGAACAACAACCACACAGACGTTGAGTTATGGACTTTATGATATATGAGCCAAGACCAGTACAATTCTGCGATATTCCGGAAAAATCGAGATGAAAAGGGACAGTAAATGTCATCATATTTACCATTACCATTAGCATGATATCAGAGTGAACAAATTAAAAGCAGATTGAAATCTGTGTTTGTTTCATACTGTAGGTCTGTTAAAAAACTGTTACATAGTCTGTAGAGATCTAAATCTAAATCATGATCATGAATTAGACACAGATCAACAAGAGTATTATATAAGAAAGCAAAGATGTGCTGTACAGTATAAATTGATTCTAATGAAATACTTTAATATCTAATTCTGTGTTTTTTAAATAAGACAACATGATTATGTGAAGTTATTTATTAAGCCTATATCTGTGGTTTTGTTTCCTACTTATTTAGATTAAATGAGTAACATTTCAATAAGTTTTTCTCCATTTTGCTCCTTTCACTGGATTGTGGGTTTGGTTGTTCACAGTGGTTCCTTCTTGCAGGAGTTACAATTGATAAACCCAATTTTTTCTGGTGCAAATTGAATTTTTGAGTGTCAGAGCCTTTAATACACCTCATTTCAAATGTAGCCTGAGTACAATGAGCTCCACAAACTTTTTGCTAATGTTCCAGGAAAGGCCCAGTTTTACAAAGAGATGCAAAGGCACTGTGTCAAACAGACTGTCTGTGCTTGGCTCTGGAAATGCTGCTTTCATCATGCTGACACTTGATCCTGTTTTAGTCTGTTGGAATATGCTTTGCTATTGATTGTGACAGTCGCATGACGTGAGTACATGAAGGATGTAGGTGCTTTAAAGGTCTTGGCTTCCTTAGCATTCTTCAAAATCTGTGATTTTACCAGTCATCTGGCTTTTTTGAGCAAATAATATTTCAAAGCATGTTTCCTAAATACTTTCCCTACAACCACAAATAAAGCAGTGGAGGAACTCTGTTATCTGTTTGTAATAAACAGTAAACTAAAGGATACAGCTTATGTTTGTCATCCAGCCATAAAAGACACACAAACTACAGTGGTTATTATAAACATATTAGGGATAGCAGCTGTGCGCATGGCGTGAATTATGGCTAGGAGGCCTAATGGCTATCAATTATGCTATTGACATTTTTATATTATATGCATGAACAATGCAGATGGGAATTTTAAAATGGGTCTAGCAATGCTTGTCTCACTTATGGGTCAGAAACTAGCTGTGCAGTAATCTGAGGATTGTGGCTGCAAACTGGACATTGCTAACATCTGCGAATTGTTGCTTTATTCATTTTCCCTGTAACGTTGCATTCTATGCTGCATGCACTGAAAATCTAGCCAATGCTAGATGCCAATCTGCGTACATTTCACAGCAATGTGTCAGCACTAGTCTACAATAAATTACTGATTCTATTTAATTTGCTAGCCATTTCCTTCTTTTAAAGAAGTTAAAAAAATGCTGTTCAGTTTATGTTTGCATTCTTACCAATACAATTCAGAAACAAGATCTGAAAAACATAAAACATAGAACAATTAACCTATTGAATTTAATAGAAGACTAATTCACATGGTGTGCATTGTGCCAGGAATACTGAATGATGTTGCTTACATTACGAAAACATTGCCATCTGCTGTATCATCTTATAGCCCGTTCTTGTCAGTTCTCAGAAGCTTTGCACGTGTCTGGACAGTACTGGGTTGGGAAAATTTGTACAGGAAAACATGATTGCTCATGGGATGTTTGTGGACCAGTAGGTGGCTCTCTTACCACGGGACCAAAAATGGAGACACAAAATAGAGACACTTTGCTGTTTGAAATTGCAGTCCAAGAAAGCATTGGCAAGAAAATGAGGTACAATGAATGCAAAATTTGTTTGCTGCGAAGTGGGACTGTGCGACAGAGGGCTCAGTGTAGTCCTTAGCAGTACAAGCCGGGCAGACATCGGGCCGCGGTCAGGGAGGAGTATTGATACTGCAGCGGGTACAGTGGAGAGCACGTCTAGAGCGGAGCGCAGGGTGTGGGGTCTGGGCTTGGAGCGTCCGTCTCCTGCCGGGGCGTAGACAACTCTGAGGCACGATCCTCTGTGGACTGAGGGGGTTCTCTGCTCCCTGGGAACTCGAAATTCTAGAACCGAGAAATAATTTACTGAGATGTCATTCTCAGTTTGTTCAAGATGTGATAGAGAAATTATATCATTTAACTCGGTTGCCTCTATGTACACTTGTGTTTTGCAACTGAACCCTAAAAAGTCATGCAGAAATAACCGGTGCTGCAGCATATGTAATGTGCCCCAGCCGCTACTCTCAGGCGAATGACAGCTCCTTGAAGGTGTGTGATTTTGTACAGCTCTTAGTTTCTCATAACTCTGATGATTGTAAGGGGAGGTTCACCTTATGGCAAAACAGTTTATTTTTACTTTTGTACTTCTTGTTCTTCCTGATCCCTACCTGTTTCCAACCTTTATTCCTTTGTTCGACATTTTCAGATGCCCCTGTTTTTACCAGTCAAATGACCATTTTAGCCTCAGTTTGGCAGTGTTATAGCCACAGTTCATTGTGCCTGTTCCAGCAGAATCCTCTGGATATTATATTTTCCTGTGTTCTCAGAGAGAGTTGTTCAAATTCTGTAATACTAATATGTTTAAAGTAGATTCCAACACAAAATGTAAAAGTTATCTTATTGCTTCCTTTATTCTGGTAATGGCATTGGTATTTAGTAAATCATCGAAGAAATGTTTGTGAGAATACCTCAAATATAAAAGAATGGGGGATATTTTATACATTACATATTGATCTTTGGCCTAGTGACAATAAAGATGTTTTATTACTGTGCCGTATTTCAGACATAAGGAAATGATTGCATAGTGCAGAGTGTGCGTGAGTGATTGAACGTTCCTCCTCGGATTTCTGTGTTGGTGGATCTCAGCTTTTTTCCAGTTTGTGCACATGCATGTATAGAAAGAAGGGAATACTTGAACTCATGCTCACTCACGGTTAGTCAGTCCAGGCCCTGGGTCTCTGATGCTTCTTGTTTGTTTTTACCGCTCAGAAGAGAAGTGTGTACAGTATGTATTTCATTAGTCTGGGTGTATGAGCTTAAGTATAGATTGAAACACAAAGTGGGATGTTGTCTGTCAGATAGATATACAAAGTAATACTGTTTAAAAACATGAATATAAGGGTCATTACATATGAGGGAAGGTCAATAGGCACAACTTGCTCATGATGTTGTTGGCAAGTTAAAAGAACTCACAAAAACACTTAGAGAGCAAAAGCAGAAAGTCAGCTTGATACCGACTTTGGATAAACATCGGCCACCTACTCTCAGTCCCAAACCTCATTTCGGTTTTGCTCACCACGTAACAGAAAGGCATTTCTGATCTGGAATCGGTACAGAGAGGATTGGCCGCATACATTCCCAGGTTTAAATAAACCTCATTTCATACTTACAGACTAAAAGAAGTAAATATTTTTGGTCTAACAGAGACCTTATTCAAGAGCTTACAAACAAATCCACAAAGTCAACCCAAAGGAATCTTTCTGAATCAACAGTGAAACATGAACCAGGAGACACAAATGGAAAATATGTGTATATCCTTTTGACACTCTGGAGGAACTCCTTTACACAACTGGATTGGACATCTGTTTTGGAAGCCCATGGCCTGGCTTTGTTCAAGAAACTGCTGAGTATGTACGTTTCTAGTGTTGACATATTCACACTTGATGAAGCATTTTGTAAACAAGAAAATATAACATTTATACAAAGCCAAAATAAAAACAGCATTATTTAAATTGTTCAATTAAAAATTCGGTGTTGTCTGCTACATCCTTGTGCAGTCTACCTCCCTTGTGAGGTAGATTGCACTGGTATGTATTTTACATTCATGAATGAGCAGTTGATCTACATCTCCTGGCTGAGCTGCACATTCACAGTATTCATACTGAAACTTTGTCACGTTCTTAGTGCAGTAAGTCAGATCTATACTCATAACTCCAGCCTAGTACAAATCACACATGAATGTATACGTGTGCAACACACTGTGAGTTGAAAAACAAGCTACAAACGCTCCTCGGCATCGATTCACAAACCTTAAAATGGCAGAAGATAGATGACTAATTTATATTTTATACACTTTAATGTGTTATTAAGAAAGAACTAGTATGAATCTGCATGCTGCAATTTGAGAATGCTATTTGAATGGAAGACCATCACTGTGTGTTAAAGCAGAGATTGGGGTCTGGTTGCACAAGCTGTCAGAGGAAATAATTTCAACATATACTGTAGTTGTGCTGAATTGAGAGTCTCTTTAAAAACAGTCAATGATGTAATACAGTTCCACTAATGGATATGTCCAATCTGATGTACAGAGGTGTACAGTATGTCAATGAAATTAATTAATTCATTATACTGTATATATTATGGTAGTCAAAGCAAACTGCTTTTTGGCCATTTGAAGCATTGGCTGGGTAATGATCTTCACAATCCCTGTGTTCTCGAGAATACCTGAGATTGCTTGAGATGGGCCACATGAGGCAGAGTTTGGGGAATGACTGTAGATGGAAGATATTGAGGGGTAAAGATAAATGTTACTAATACCTTCAAGATATGAGCTGTTATGTTGTCAAGTCTGAGTTTCTGATATAACATTTTGAAAATCCCCATTGCTCTGAAAATAGCTTTATGCTTTTAAGACAAGGCAAAGGGGAAGGAGAAATGTGATATCAAATATATCTAAAACAC